CCCAGATGAATGTAACTGTACTGTATGCCTAAAAAGTACCAATAAACTCAGTGAAAAAATTGAATCATCTCCATCGCCTTTCCCCTCATCTCCACGATCGTCCACAACCACGGCTGTGCTCCTCCACACTTGCTGAAGCTGCTCCCTCCGCATGGTACGCCTCCCCTTGCTTGCCAATGAAATCCCTGACATAGTCCTAGATTTCCAGGTCAGATACCACCTCCTTTGTGTAAAGCTTTCACTGACATCTTTCCAGGTTTGCTCTTTCTCCACCCACGGCTACTGGTGAGCACTGATTGTCTCAGAGTTTGGGGGCCCACATCTCTGTCCTGGTATCCTGAGGGCTCTTTTTCCTCTTTGTGCCTCTGCAGGTAAACAGTGCCTAATGTGACATACATGTAATACTTCTGTGCCTCCCTCAAAGTGGGATGAATAGCACTGAGGGTGAGAAGGGGGTTTTTAGGGTCACATGAGCACAGAACTCAGCAATGCCGAGTCACACAGCAAAGAAGTGATCCCTGCTCTGCGATCATTCTAACCTGATTAGGTCACTAAGCAAGGCTCCATCTGACCTGGGTCCCCAAACCGGTCCTGCCCAGGACACAGGCCAGTCTCTTTTTTCCAGAGAGAGCACACCACAGGGTTAAGCTTCTAAGATAGTGAATGGTGTCTTACTAGAACTGAAGAACATTTTGTTTTCATTTCAGTTTTTCTAGTTAGCTTCTCTTTTCCACAAATGGTGCTGCTTTCAACTTATAACAGCGATACTAAGTTTCCTTTTAATTATAAATTTATTTATGTAGAAAAGTGAGTCAACCACTGTTCATTTAATGTTCAAAAACAGGATGATAGGATCGGCCAGAGATTTAGCTTGCCTGCCTCTCAATGCAATGTTCCCAGTTTGATCCCCTGTACCAAAAAAACAAAACAAACAAACAAACAAAAAAACAGGATGATAGGGCTGAGGATTTAGCTCAGTGGTGCCGCCACCTGTCTTCCAAGCGCAAGCACCTGAGTTCCTGAGTTTGATCCCTGGTGCCAAACAAAATAAAACAAAACAAAAACGCCAGGATGATAGATAAAAAAGCTGGTACTTTTAGACAAAGAAATAATACACAACAGTTAAATAAGCTAATTATACTAACGTGGGTAAATCTCAAAAATATAATAAGGAAGGGGAAAAACAAATTGTAGAAGGAATTCTCTACAATATTATCACTTACCTGAGTTTAAAATATGCCAAAACAACATTGTGTTTTACAGATATTTTCATCTGTAGTAACAGAATAAAAATATGCATTGGCATTAATTAAATTTGGGGTAGTGGTTAACTCTAGGGAAAGAGAGAGGCAAATTTATAGAAATTCCAACTAAAATAATTAGAAGCAAAATATGCCAAAATATATGGGTTTATGACTTCTTTTACTTCCAATATCTTTCTGTATGTCTGTAAAGCTTCCTAATGTACTTTAAAATGGATAAATCACAAAATCCAGTTAGCTTAACAGTATATTAATTTGCCGGGCATGGTTGCACACGCCTGTAATCCCAGCACTCAGGAGGCTGAGGCAGGAGGATCCCTGTGAGTTCAAGACCAGCCTGGGCTACATAGTGAGTTCCAGATAAGTCTCAACTACATTGTAAGACCCTGTCTCAAAAAACAAAAAACAAAAAATAAAACAAAACAAAAACAAACCAAAACTGATACTGTAATAGCCAGATGTGGTGGTGCATGCCTGTAATCCCAGCACTCGGGAGGCTGAGGCAGGAGGATCGCTGTGAGTTCAAGACCAGCCTGGGCTACATAGTGAGTTCCAGGTCAGTCTCAACTACATAATGAGACCCTGTCTCAAAAAACAAAACAAAACAAAAAACAAACAAAAAAAAAAACCCAAAAAACAAAAAACAAACCACAGTATATTAATTTAAAGAAAGTAAAAGAACAGGAGGGAAGGTAAAGGGAAATATCCTGGGAGTGATATGAGGTGAGGCTGTTTCAAAAAATAAGAAAGATGGTGAAACAATGAGTTCACAAGTCCTCTTTAAACTATAAATTTCATTAGTGTAGGAACGGTATCTGTGTCTGCCACTGCTATACCTCAAGATACCTAGTACCATCCCTGAAGCATACTTAAAAAAAAACAAAACCAAAAACTGCGTTATCGACAGAAAGTCTCACAACATTGGAAATCACCGAAGGACAGAGGCTGTCTGTCATCACTGACCACCGCCACCTCCCCATGATCCAGCCTAGCGCTGGGCATATAGGAAACCTTCCAGAAATAATGTGCAGTATTTAAGAATCCCTGTAGCAGGGCTGCAGTTCCAACTGCCACAAGCAGGTGGCACTTGGTGTTTGGCTCTGAGCTGCCCATAAGACAATGGCCAAAGTGATCAGCCATTAGCCAGAATAGACCTAGGTTGAGGAAGTCAGTGGACAACGCTGGCACTTGGCCCCTTCCCTGCTGCAGTATGGTGGCTGCTTGGGGTGCCAGGAAAACCCACTATCTATCAAACCTGGGTCAGTGCCACGAGTGAAAGCCCTTGTGCTGGGTAGTGCCTGCCACCCTCACTTCTAGGACCACTCTGACCATCTGCCCTCTGCTTCCCCATCCACTGCCCACTGAACCCAAGTCACAGAGCCCCTCTCTCTCCTCTGAGGTCTTTGGCTACCCTGACCCATTCTTTGCACTTCCAGTACTAGGAAGTACATTCACCATCACTTATCTGCTCATTTCTCCAACTTGATTTTTAAGTAATTGAGTTGCTCTCCCAGCAGGGATAATGTCTCCTTTCCGGTGCTCAGCACACATGCTTTTAAGAAGCAAGAATTCACTTGCATAGATCCGGGGGGAAAAAGAAAAAAACAACAAAAAAAAGATACCCTGAAACGGTGCAGGTGCTCCATTAATATATGCTGAATGATCCTGCGTGGGAGGGACTTGGCAGTGCAAGCCCAAGGGCAGCAGTATCTCTTTCGGCAGATACTTGGGGGACAGCAGTGGTGTAGCAACACCATTCTAGGCACTGGGGACAAAGAAATGAGCAGAAAAATGTCCTGGCTCTCACAGAACTTACATTAGTGAGAGATAGGAGGCCAGGTCCTAAATACATAAGCACAACTAGAAATACACTATGTCGGATGGAATTAGCGCTCTGTAAGAATGTAAAGCAGGGTGAAGAGAGGTGGGGGATAGGGCAGGACAGAAGTGGACAAAGAAGACTTCTCTGAGCAGAGTTCTGAATGAAGCCAAGTGAATCCTGCTGAACACGAGAGAAGTGTTCAGCAGAATGAGCAGAAAAATGTCCTGGCTCTCACAGAACTTACATTAGTGAGAGATAGGAGGCCAGCTCCTAAATACATAAGCACAACTAGAAATACACCATGTCGGATGGAATTAGCGCTCTGTAAGAATGTAAAGCAGGGTGAAGAGAGGTGGGGGATAGGGCAGGACAGAAGTGGACAAAGAAGACTTCTCTGAGCAGAGTTCTGAATGAAGCCAAGTGAATCCTGCTGAACACGAGAGAAGTGTTCAGCCATGGAAAATAGTGAGTGTGAAGGGCAGGAGGCAGAGGGTCTCATGAACAAAACTGGTGATACAGGTACCTATGCTGCTCCCAGGGACTAAATCCAACTGGAAAATTGACCCCAATCCGAGAAGGGCTGCCAGAACCCTTCCCAGATTTTCCTATGGTCCTGGCTCAGCCTCTCATTTCTGGGGGGCTCCAGTGGCCTCATTCCAAAGGCACCTCTCATACCCAGGCAAGGAGTGTCCCCCAGCACTCTGCATCGGTGATAATCCCAGATTGGAAGTGGGAGATGCTGAGGGGGGCCTCAGGCTATGACAGCCCTCTAGGCAGGCAGAGAGTGGTTTAGGAGGAGCAAATAAATAAATAAATAAATAAACGAATGAATGAATGAACAAATAAATAAATCAATAAGTGCAGAGTTGATCTGGGCATGGTGGTGCAGTCCTGTAATCCCAGCACTCTGGGAGGCTGGGGTAGGAGAATCATAAGTCAAGGCCACCCTAGGCAATTTAGTGATTTAGCAAAAAATTCTGTCTCAAAATAAGGAAGGAAGGAAAAGAAAAGAAGGAAAGACACCTGTAATCCCAGCACTCAGGAGGCTGAGGCAGGACACTGAGTTCGAGACCAGCCTGTTCTACACAGTGAGTTCCAGGTCAGTCACAACTACATAGATCCTGTCTCAAAAAAAAGAAGAAAAGAGAAAGAGAGAGAGCGCTGGGGATGTAGTGCAAAGGCCCTGTGTTCAATCCCCACTACTGCAAAAGGAAGTGGGGGGTGTGGAGAAAGAAAACCACGGAGTTGGAGGAAGGCTTAGCCCTGCAAAGCGGGAAAACGACACCTAGATGCACCAACACACACAAAGCCAGTTTTCCATGTATGAACGGTGCCTCAGCCACATTCGGGTCAGGTTTACTGCCCCAAGGGCCCCTAAGTCCATGCCTACGCCTACATCCATCCAGCCATCTGCAAGCCCAGGCCGACCCGCGCCCCTGCCCATACATTTGTCTCTGTGTGCTGGCTTCGCGGTCGCCCCAACCTGGAGAAACATCTATCCTCGCGTGCCGGAGCCCCCCCGCCACACATATCCTGCACCTGCCTGCGCCCTGCGCTGACTCAACTTCCCCAGAGCCTCAGGCCGTGCACCCAGCTGCCCCCTCCCCTCTAGCTCTTGGATCCCCACAGCGCGGCGAGCGCCTGCGAAAGCTGGTCCACGGAAGGCGGAAGAGCTCCTGCGCCTCGAGGACCTATTCGATGTCGGGGTTGGGGTAAGCTGGTATGAAAGGGTGAAGATGGTTGATCTTTGCCTAAAGTCCTCGGAGCCGTTTCCGCACACTACTGAGGACAGAGCGAAAAGGGCAAGAGTGGGAGCCCTCTCCTCTCTCCTGGGCACCTTTCTAGGAGGGAGCGCAAGGGCGCTGCGGCCCCGATCCCCCTTGCACCCCTACTCCGCGCTTCCCTCCCGTGCTCACCCTGTCTGCCGCCCTCGCGGTGCGAACCCCGGCTGCTGCGAG